AAGATGTTAACTGACATTAATATATTAAAAACTAAACCAAATCCTATTTCTCAAACAAATCACATATTGACACAGCTGAACAAATAAAAATGTGATCATGTTTATAAACTCCACTCAAAAACAATTTTTGAGAGACACTCGGGTCACGGTACTAAGCGTGATAATCTCTAATATCTCATCTGATTCTCCCAATATGTAAAGGGTCTTTACAATGACAGCATCCAACCGCACATACATAGAAACAACAATATTACACAAGAAACCAATTAATTCGGAAAATTTCTCAGTAATGTTTGAAAATTAACCTTACTAAAATATAACTGAATTTTTATTTCAGTTGTAGCCGAAAAAATATTTTTCATGCGTTTAAAGTATCGTTTTAGCACTGTAATATGTACTTATTACATGTATCTATACATTTGGATGCTATCTTGACCTTTGACCATTGTGTGAAAACAGGTCGGCCATGTTGTCTTTCTCGCCGTGAATTTTCGAGCCGTTTTTTCGAGCAAATTTCAACCGTTTTAAACATTTTACGGCCTCAAAAACTCATATAACGAGGAAAACAAGTTGTAGTTGTTATTTTCATGCGTAACATTTCTTCTGGGGATGGATTATTTTTCCGTCGAGCTGCCGAAAACTTAGCGCCATGCCGCAACCATGCGATCGGGCGCGGCCGGACGGCGGGAGTTTTACTTTGTATCGGTGAGCTTTCGCGATGTAAACAAAGACAGTCGGAGTTGTTTACATGAAAATTTTGTTGTGAAACGCCAGCGGGGTGTCAGATTTTCTACCAATGACAACGTTTTCTTTGTGGCGTCATGGCGAGATCGACAATTCATCGTCAATTCACAGGATTGTGCCGACAATGGAATTGAATAGCGGCCCGATCCGTGCAATTAGCGCTCGATCCACGCCGCCCGACCGAAGAAAATTGGAATGACGAGCACATTTATCGGGGATAAAATCCCCAATTTTGAAAACCGACCGCTAGCCGCTCGAAATTTTTGGTCGGCCCAAAAAAGGCTAGGGTCGGGGGGTTTTTCATAGGGTCGGTCGGGTAACCGGAAACACAACATTTTTTTTCCTAGGCCTTATGAGACCACCCACGTACCCGTGGATGTGGGATGGTGTGCAGCTCATCTATGGGGACATCCGGAGGTCGATGACCCCCCAGAGGCTGCAGGTGACCCACAGGGAGGGCGGAGTCACCAGTGATGGAGTGTGGTCCACACACGGCCAGGAGGAGGAGGAACTTCCACACTTGCTCCATCCTACTTGATGGTGATGATGAAGGTTTATTCAGGATAGACCCACACATAGCCTATTGCATTAGCTGAATAGTTTAATAGTATCCAGACTATCTCAACTGCTGAGTCTATTTTGTCCAGAGAGATTCGGTGGTTAAAATAAGTTTGTACACTAGCTTAATATGAATTGCAGAAACATGACAATTTAAAAAAAAAAAAATTCTAAAAAGTAACACAACATCATCATTTATCAAGGCAAGAGTTTCAAACAAGGTAGAATATTACAGACACGAAATCCTTGTGAAATTAACAAGGAGGGACAGCTCTAGAATATTTGAATAAATTAGCATAAATCAGAAGCTTTAAGCTAAGTAAAAGTTGTCTGCACTAACATATCGTAATACCAAGGAGCTTTAAATTATTTTAATAATCTAGAGCTCCTCGGCGCCTGCTTTACTTTTTAAAACAGACACACTGAAGAATTTAATCAGCAGCCATCTTGCAGGAAACTTTAAATTTGTTTGTTCTACAGGTGGCCAAAGTAAACTTAAAGGTAAAGAAACTGTCACTTAAGCTGACATAACCGCCCCGAAAAGAAAACAGATCCTTTCATTATCGACTACTACTCTTTGTCCATATTTGCGAAGCACAGAATCAGTATAACCGTACGTTGGGTCTTGCACTGACAGTATGCAAATTTGTTTTGAAAGTTAATATAGTCGTTGCTTTTGTTTCTTCCTTTAGTTACAAATGATAACTATAACACCTGCAAATCTCAGCTATGACCTATTTCAACCACCTGTCGAACAAGTCGGCTTGACCCCTGATCAAGGCCCGAGAAGTCTGTCACCGGATCACCCGGGCTTCTGACAGTTCTGACAGTTTGACTCAGCTTTTACACGCCGTTCGCTCCCAATTAACACAAACCAATGCAATAAAGTAGACTAAGATAACCACAAAACAGTTGTAAGTAAATATTTACCCCGTAAAACTAGGACAGATACGTTGTTTTGAGCAAACTTCGACAGAAGTGTACTCACCTGCAAATACTTCCACCTTCGCGCAGTCAGACTGTCTCACACCGGAGTTGATCGAGTTGGTCTCGCACCTCGATGATGATCACGTGACAATAGGCGCGAAATTTGAGTTTAGAGTTGCTGACGTTTCGATGATTTCCTGGTAGTACCCTACTTGAACGTCACATAATTTTTTGTTGTCGTGTGCCAAATGAGCCTGTACTATATCGCCCATTTGGCCAAGCGCCCATTTGGCCAAGCGCGTGTGTACTTTCCAAGCAGAGGTTGGTGGACAAGATCGTTACCATTTCTGTCGCTACCCCACCTTGATAAAAAAAACGGGATATATACATAGAAAGGTTACAATCTTCCCCACCAACCTCTGCTTGGAGAGTTAGGTGCGTGTCTACATTTTGTCTATTCTATTCTATTCTATTCTATCCCATTATAATTCAAAATAGAAATAGACCTATCCGGATCGAACACCCTGTTCTGTTTCGAACAGGTCCGTCAAAATCAGCTTGGAAAATCTAAAAGCAGAAAAATGAGCTCCTTCTTGAAATTTGGTGGCGGAAAAGAAAACATAACACTGATCACCATCTTAGAGCTTTATTCCGTTCACCAAAAATTCGACAAAATTGTTATTTTTTCACCTAACATAAAATCACCTTTAAGTATCATGTATTATCTTATGCACTCCATCTTCCAAATAAAAGTACACCCAGAAAAGCCTATATACGTACGTTTCCAGCTCCTAAGTTAGTTTTACCCTCATGGCATTATTAGTGATATTAGGCTAGACTTTTTACCAACATAAAACAATATGCATTCAAGAATGTAACATAATATGTACTACTGTGAAAAATATGGTGAGTACACATGATTTTGTGTGGGAATGTAATTCGTGTACATCAGTGATATGTACCACCAGTTGCAAGTAAAAAGAAGCTAAATTCAATGCAACATATTCAGGTACTATTTTAGGGACGATGTACTTGTCCTTTCACCGAACATATAATCTCATACACTCCATCTTCCAAATAAAACTACACCCAGAAAAGCCTATCTACGTGCGTTTGCAGCTCCTAAGTTCATTAATCCCTCATGACATAATTAGTGATAGAAGTGATTATGGTATACTTTAAACAACTTAAAACAATATACACTCAAGAGTGTAACATAATATTTACTGTGAAATATATAGTGAGTAGATATCATTTTGCGCAGGAAAGTACTAGTAATTAGTGTACATGTACATCAGTGTTACTTAATATATACATACCACCAGTTGCAAGTAAAAAGAAGCCAAATTCAATTTAACATATTCAGGTACTATCTTTGGTATGATCTACTTGTCCATAGGCATTTTTTTGTGATGACAACCGAACAACGACAACCAGTGATGCTATTTAAAGCTCAGTATGCTCTATGGCATCACCACCAAAATTTGGAACATCAATATACTGTCCAAGTTCCTTCATCCTCTCATGAAATCCGACGTCCATCTCAGGAGTCATTTCCGGTTTGATCCAGATGAGCCAGTTTTCCAGGGCGTACTCCATCCTCTCCTCCGTCAGGTCCCCAGCCTGGACCACATCTCCCTCAAGGTCCTCAACCAGCCGGTCAAAAATCTGCACACAGACGGAAAAGAGTGATAGATATATGGTCATCAAAGCATGCTCGAGATTTTGAAATTTATTTTTGGTGACACCTAACGTAGTTTCACGGACAATATCAAATAGAGCAGTATGTTATGTTTATTTGTGATAGCACCTAACCCCCTAAACAATTGGTGTCAGAAGTGGGATGCACAATATCAGAGAACGTAGAATGTCTGCAAAACAATTACATTAGATTCTATTTTTTACAATGTATCTTTCATAACTCAGGGTATGAAAAAATAGCTAATTTAAAAAAAAATAAACTTTAACAAGTATGGTTTTAGCATTTTTAGACTCTTGCATTTCAAGAACATAATTTTGTTACAGTTACACTAGATTCTATGTTTTACAGTGTATCTTTCGAGTATGAAATACTTAGCTAACTTTTAAAAATATCAAACAAATAACACAACTATGGTTTCATCATTTTTGGACTCGATCGTTTGGCAGGATTACGTACGTAAAGGTACTCTTGTACACTTAGTATACAGAGTCATGTTCTCAAAATTCAAGAGATAAATAATTGACTGAAAACTTGACTTGAATTATCACGCACACACGCGCGCGCGCACACACACACCTCTGTTGCATAGTTTTCAGTCCCATCAAGTACGGTCGTGTAGACATGAACGAATTCAGCTCTGGTCAACTGCCCTTGCTTCGTAGCCAGGTGCTCAATAATGTACCTACAAGATTAAGAGATCAGCTGCATGAAAATCAACATACCTTGCCAAACACCAGTACTTTAAACAGGAAAAGACAAGACATATTGGATAGTTCATTGCTAAAATTGGATAGAAATTTTACATTACAAATTATGGTAAAATATAAAGCGTTCACCAAATGTGGCACACACTTCATCAGCAAAACATAATGATTTTTTTTCTTTTTATGAATCCTAGAAGACATGTTATGGCTTTTGGCAGTGTAAAAGAGGACACTTACCAGAAACAACCATACAAAACATCGATGTATTCCTCTTACTACAATTGCGTTTATCTTAATCAATAGCAGCAATATAATCCACAAATATATATATATATATATATATATATATATATATATATATATATATATATATATATATATATACTTCTTCAACGTTATCCATGAGTAAGTTGTAACTGTGATTTTAGATGAAACCAGGTGTATTTTATGACCCTGAGTTGAAACTTACCGGATATCTTCAGGTGAGGTGCTGGAGTACTCAAACAGCTCTGTGTTGGAAGGCTCCTGGTTTTCAAATTCCAGTGTGTAGGCCCTGAGCGTATCCCAGTCCAAGGCTTCAACATCCTCTCTGGTAAGGTAGCCTTTAGAGTTGACATCTAAAGCCTTGAAACTCTGTGAAGATATTTCAGCACATAGAAAATATATTAACATATCATTTTTGGTGTATTCATTAGTTCGTCCTATAAAAAGTTTTATAATAAATTTAGAAATACAAAAGAAAAACTGAAACTATTTTCTTCTCTGTGCATTTCTACTTTGTTAGTTTTCTCTCTACTCACCCTTTCTGCCTTCTTCATTCGAAAGTCGTCATCATATTCAGGCATAGCCTGTGTATATAATGTACAAGAAAACAGGTTATAATTAATCTTTAACAATATTCCGGTCTATGTGATAACTTGTGTTATCACACAGGCCTCTAACGATTATTACATGGGCTTGGAAGAGTTTCAAAGAATATAATGATTTAAACATACGTATGTTTCACTTGCGCCGTGTGCTCTGCTTTCGAAAATTTGAATACCTCGGAACTAGTACATGTATGTAAAATACACTTACCACGTTGAGTACTTGAAAGATGCCATCCTTGGTAATTTTTCCATCGCTATGTTCCAGGAGGCCATACAGGCCGTGCCTCATTCCCGGCAGCTCCAAATCCATATGTCCCATGGTCATGTTTCCAAACCCTGACCAATTCCACATCACCTAGTAAACATTGTTTGGGCAATGAATACTCGTAGTCAAGAATTCCAAGGGATTTCTTTTATAAAGTTACTAGTCTGATACAATCCTTGCCTTAGATTGTTCCTGTTGCTAATAATGACGTAGTCGTACTGCTAATTACACATGTATATATAATATACACTAGTAATGCAACATAACATGTATGGGAATCTACATAAAAAGTAATAAGAACATAAAGCAAAAAAAACATCAAACCTCGAAGTCGCTGAGAGGTGTGTACTCCACTTTCTGTGTGTCACAGTCAGAGTCATCAAACTCCTCTAGCCTGGCAAACAGGATAGCCACGGCGACGTTCTTATCCCCGACTGACTCCACCTGGTGGTAGTAACCTGGGAACACACACGTGCACAGAGGCTTGGATTGGGACTATGTTATGTAGCATTTGCAGTCGTGTGACTAAGACACAATTCAGTCTGCCTACCTAAGCGCTTAGGCCAGAACTGGTTCTTCATGTGTTCCCTTCAGGCTGCACGGTCCTTAAGCCATTTGCTCAACAACCTTGAGGGACCATCCAGTATCATATACTATTTGGTCCCGCCATCGTTTGAGGGGTCTTCCTCTAGGCCTGGGGTTTTGAAAATCCTGGTGGTAGGCCCCATTTACAAAAGAGTTCTTCTCTGAAGGTCTTCTCTGAACGTGACCAAACCACCTCATCCTTTCAGTATCCATCATTATTGTGTGTGTCATGTAGCATTCGCAGTCGTGTGATTAAGACACAATTCAGTATCCACCATTATTGTGTGTGTGTATGGTGTACGTTCTGCCGACGTGCTGGTATGGTAATACTCTTCATTATTGGAGTTAAGTCGGAAACACTTACTTTTGGGTAGATAGAGACAGTCCCCTGCATTAATGGTGAAGCTAGACCAGCGCACTTTGGCGATGTTGGGGTGTTCCAGAAGATCAACCTTGTGCACATTAACGTCTGAGAACCCACCAAGCGCCCGTAATGGCTCCCAGTGCTAAAGAACAATGGCAGTAATCGTCCAACTGTATAAAACTGAACATCCATCAGACGTCTAATTGATGTTCAATCAGTATTAGACATCTAATGGATGTTCAGTCAGTATTATTTTTTCATCATAGTCATCTGGTCTTGAGAGTCGACTCTCAAGACCGGATGACTATGATAAAAAAATACACTCAGACCTTTACAAGAAGGCAAACCCATGAACTGAGGTGGTCATCTTTGGCAGATCGCTATGTAAAAGAAACTGGGAAAGGTGGCTGTCTTGAAGAGTTGATTTTTTTATATTTTGTCTGTGTATCTACACGTGTGTGTGGCACACGTATGTGACTGTTATAAATCTCGAGGTCACTCCACTTTTCGTAAAAAGAAACCCACTTGCCTTGTGTATGAGAGGTTCGTACTTGCGCTCGATCATCTTCCAGTGTTTGGTGCCGTTGTACAGACAGTTCATGGCGTTGAAGGCATCCTTGTGGAGAACGCTGCTGCCACCGTTAGAGCTCATCCATAGATCAATCTAAACCATGAAAAGATAGTCGTCCATGCATTGCTTTCGTCAAGTAGTTAAGTACTCTGTCCTGAAATATTGAGTGCTCAATGAAGCATAGAAAGCATAATGTGCCATTTTAAAGTCTTTGGCATGACTTGACTGGGGAGCTTACTACGACCTACTGAATGTAACTATACTCACTTGCCAAATTTGCCACAGGTCATATCACCTGTCTCATAATAGTTGTAATAGTACAGAACCCTTACCTCCACAAGACTCTTACGGAAGGAGCCACAGGTGAGACATGGCTGTACCAGGACTTCATGGTACATGTCGGTGGGTAACTGTGACACGGCGTACACATCTATGCCTTGGTCATGATAGGTGTCCAGGAAGTGTTCCATGGTGTCTCGTCCTACTATCCCATTTGCTCCAATCGGAAGCCTGCTTTTTTTCTCTTTTTTGCCCTCAAGACGAATCTTTTGGAACAAGAAACGTACTAATGAACGAACAGACAGTCAAGTACCAGAGACATCAACCAACTTTGAGGCGTTCAAAAACTTCTTTTCCCCAAGAGCTTCTGTTTTCCCCAAGGGCTTCTAATCATAGATCCTGGAAGGTTCTACGATCATAGCTCAACTTTTTTGTGGAAGGAGAGGGATGGGCTCCGCCTTCCAATACCGTGCCCTAGACACAGTGGATTAACAACCCACTTCCCCTACGGACTTAACAAAGGCTACGGGAATACCTTCACCCTTTTTTGATAGTAGAGTGGAACTAGTTTATGTATTGATTTTTTCAAAAGTGGTAAATCAGGTTTATCATTGTCAAGATTGTCAGGAAAAGCACAGGCATTGGTTCAATAATTAAGTTGCTAAGAAGTTTCCAGGATAAGTTGCGCGGCAATTGATAGATTCATATGAAATCCTAACCTCTGATCTTATTACTTTGAAAAGATTGTCAGCATTTCATGATAAAATAGTTTATTCCCCTGTAGAGACACATACATACAAATCTACTAGTACAAAAGCACCTTTGAAAATGTAAAGCGATATACTTAATTTGTTTTCTTCTTCTTTACCTCTAGTTTTCCGTAGTTGTCCCTCAGGTACTCATCTGTCCATAATGTGAAGGCAGGACTGTTTTTGGCTGCACCCCGCAGAATCACCGGCTTGTCATGTTTCACATATTTGTCCCAGAACTCCTATAGTTGAATAGACAAGGTGTTGTCGTAATTATACTCAAATGTATTCATGCATCTTTTACTGTAGTCTATTTGTTGCTGCTGTTTTATATTCGTAAAGTTTGTAAACGACTTGTAACAGTTACAATTCGGTTGATGAGGTCTAGATCTCCAGGATAGGGAAAATGTAACAATATTGAATTGAATTGAATTGAATTGAATTGAACTGAACTGAACTGAATTGAATTGAATATAGACGTCGACGGGTCTGCATCACTCAAGGTTCTCACCTAGAGTTTTCGACCAGTCACTCTGGTCTTTGTAGAGCTGGCCGAAACATATGGCTCTAGGTGAGTATTTACCTTTTGTGTAGGAACAAAAGTTTTACCCTTTTTTCACAGTTTTTGATAGACAAGGACCCAATGATAAAAGAGATAATGTATAGGAGATTGAAACAAAAGACCCAGTCACGTACCCGTGGATGTGGGATGGTGTGCAGCTCATCTATGGGGACATCCGGAGGTCGATGACCCCCCAGAGGCTGCAGGTGACCCACAGGGAGGGCGGAGTCACCAGTGATGGAGTGTGGTCCACACACGGCCAGGAGGAAGAGGAACTTCCACACTTGCTCCATGCTTATTCAACACGGAACAAACAATGAAGAACAGTAAACACGAAAAAACAGTTACCTAAGCAACTGGCTATGATTTTGCAAACGGTCAGAAGTTTCAGGTTGTATCGACTGCCTTTCGCCAATGACACTAGTGAGCTCTCAATTTAGCAGGTTTATAAACACGAACTATTCATTGGTACGCAAATATAGTGGAGACAGATTTTTTATCGTTCAATAGGAAACAAAAGTTAAAGTTAACTAACGTCTGACCATTTCCAAAATCATATAAAGTGCTTAATATTAGTAACTGTTTTTTGCGTATCTTATTATCTGGATGTTAACCTTCACCGACGAATGAAGCACGTTACATATGCTTTTTTTTATACGATATGACTGTTTAAGTCAATAACCTGGCTCTAAATTGTAACTTGTTAGAGCATTCAGACGCGAAAATCAGTAGCCATCTTGCCGTTGTGAAGTGTTTTGTTGTTTTATGCTTGTTCTACAGGTGCACAGGAAACTGTAGAAAATGTCATCCCGAAAGAAAACAGGTTCTGAGATCCGGCACGGGCCTTTCGTAGTCTCCACCAGACTCCTTTGCAGGCTGAATAAATGGTAGGCATCGGCCTAAAATTGGGATTTAATTACCCGGAGGAGTTGGCCCGCCAGAGAGGGCAATTTGCATACAGGCAAAGGAGTCTGGTGGAGACTAGGCCTTTCGCACGGCGGACTGAACTGTCACCGAGCCATGTGTACCCATAAGCAGTGGGGGTAACCTGGGTACCATCGCCTATTGTCCTTTCCACTGGGTTCATTTCTGTGACAGCGCTTTGCCCGGACTGGCCACTTGTACCTCCCATGTGGAGATTTCTAAGAAGCCTTCAAATCAAACCCATTTTAAGGTTAAACCTCCTTCCCGAAACTAGTTTGCTCACGATTACGAGGCACAGAATCAGTATTATTGTTTGCTCTTGCATCACAAGCACGCATTTTGTTTCGAAAGCTAATATAGTTGTTTCTTCAGAAGCAAATGATAACACCTGCAACATGAGCTTTGTGTATGACGATTACAACCACCTGTCGAACAAGTCGATTTGACCGGGTTTACGGAAAAGGCTGGGGACCCGGCCTCGGCTATCTAGCTGGGCTGGCTACGTAAGCTGATGACTAGCAACTTCAGATTACATAACCAGATAGCCCCCATTTTTAGAATGCCCATTTTTGAGAATACCCATCATTTGTGAGGATATGAATGGGGGTATCTGAGTAGCCTGACGTGCTAGCCAGCCCAGGTAGACAGGTGAGACATAGGACACAGCCCAGTCGTTTCCGTAAACCTGTCAGAGAGTAGTCTGCACTGTGTCAGACAGTTTGACTCGCGTCTTTTACAAAAGTTAACGCAAAGAAGACCAATAGCACTTACATAACCGCAAAACAGTTGTAAGCAAACCTTTTCTACGTAAAACAGGGACATGAACGTAAATAAAGTTAGAGACAAAGATTGAGGAAAGTTCACTGAAGAAATCATCAACAGAAGGGTCCTCACCTGCAAACCTCCGCCTTCGCGCAAGTCACAATAATGTTTCACACCGGAGTTCGTCTCACACTGCCGATTTCAAGTTGTTCATGTGACACAGGGCGCGAAATTTGAGTTTGAAGAGTCGTTTAGAATCGTTTCTCCCTGCCCTACGTGTGTGTTCTATAACGTGCATGTCTGCTTTAAGTTAGTCTTTTCAGCGAGAAATCACAAGGCCATTTTACCTTATCCTGCTGCTCCCCAAACAAATTTGCGGAGCATTGAAGGTAAACATTATGTATTTGCATTGCAATGTTACATACATATCCAGTGTTATAGATAGAAATACATAACCCAACGGAGAGGGGATATGAGACTGTAATGTTGGTCATTTAGTCAAGCACACCGGGTCTGTTGGGTTCTTTAAGGTGCATGTCTGCATTTTGTCTATTCTATTCTATTCTATTCTATTCTATTCTATTTGATAGACCGATCCAGGTCGAACGCATCGAGCCCCCTGTTCTATTTCGAACACCTCCGTGAAAATCTAAAAGCAGCAAAATGAGGGACGTCTTGAAATTTGGTGGCGAAAAAGGAACACAACACTGATCACCATCATATAGCTTTATTTCATTCACCTAAATTTCGAAAAAAAATTGATTACTTTCACCGAACATATAATCACCTCTAAGTATCATGCATTATCTTATGCAGCCCATATTCTAAATAAAAGTACACCCAGAAAAGCCTATCTTCATGTACGTACGTTTGCAGCTCCTCAGTTGATTTTGCCCTCATGGCATTATTAGTGATATTAGGCTAGACTTGTACCAACATAAACAATATACATTCAAGAATGTAACATAATATGTACTGTGAGAAATATAGTGAGTACACATAATTTTGTGTGTGAAAGTAATTAGTTTATATCAGTGATATGTACCACCAGTTGCAAGTAAAAAGAAGCTAAATTCAATGCAACATATTCAGGTACTATTTTAGGTACGATGTACTTGTCCTTTCACCGAACATATAATCTCATACACTCCATCTTCCAAATAAAACTACACCCAGAAAAGCCTATCTACGTGCGTTTGCAGCTCCTAAGTTCATTAATCCCTCATGACATCATTAGTGATAGAAGTGATTATGGCATACTTTAACCAACTTAAAACAATATACACTCAAGAATGCGACATAATATTTACTGTGAAATATAAAGTGAGTACTTATTATTTTGCGTAGGAAAGTAATTAGCTAGTGTACATCAGTGTTACTTATTTACGTACCACCAGTTGCAAGTAAAAAGAAGCTAAATTCAATGTAACAAGTTCAGGTACTATTTTTGGTATTATGTACTTGTCTAACGCGTTTTCTTGTGATGACAACCGAACAATGATATGTTTGAATACCAGTGAAGCTAAAGCTCAGTATGCTCTATAGCATCACCGCCAAAATTTGGAACATCAATATACTGTCCAAGTTCCTTCATCCTCTCATAAAATCCCACGTCCATCTCCGGAGTCATCTCCGGTTCGTCCCGGATGAGCCAGTTTTCCAGGGCGTACTCCATCCTCTCCTCCGTCAGGTCCTGAGCATGGACTACATCTCCATCAAGGTCCTCAACCAGCCGGTCAAAAATCTGCACACAGACGGAAAAGAGTAATGACAGGTATCATAAAGGCATACTTGGGGCTCAAACGTATTATTGGTGGCGCCTAACCCAAAAATAGAGGTGCACAGGACAAAAATCAGTGCACATTATCAGATAAAGCAGTTTATTTTGGTGGCACCTAACCCCCTAAACAATTGGTGTCAGAAGTGGGATGCACAATATCAGAGAAAGTAGAAAATCTGCAAAACAATTACATTAGATTTTATTTTTTACAATCTATCTTTCGAACCTCAGGGTACGAAAAGCTATAGCTAATTTCTAAAAAATCTTAAACCTTTACAAGTAACACAACTATGGTTTTATCATTTTTAGACTCTTGCATTTCAAGAACATAATTTTGTTATAATTACACCAAGCACAGTTGGGGCATCATCACTAGAAAGCTTTAAACAACTCCTGCAATCATATGTGCAAAGATTGAGTGTAACAATTCGTTCTGTGTGATATTGGTAGTTGCCGCCGCGCCGCTTGCCTGCGAAGCTGGTGTGTTACGCCGAAGGGCGGTTATACCGGCTATACCGACTCTGTATACTAAGTGTACAATAGTACAATAGTACCTTTATGTACGTAATCCTGTTAAACGAAATCAGTTACAATACTTGAACTATCACACACACACACACACACACACACACACACACACACACACACACACACACACCTCTGTTGCATAGGTTTCAGTCCCATGAAGTACGGTCGTGTAGAGATGAACGAATTCGGCTCTGGTCATCTTGCCATTATCCTTAGCCAGCAGCTCCATAATGTACCTACAAGATTAAGAGATCAGGAAAATCAACATACCTTGCCAAACACCAGTATTTTAAACAGGAAAAGACAAGACATATTGGACAGTTCATTGCTAAAATTGGATAGAAATTTTACATTACAAATTATGGTAAAATATGAAGTCACCAAATGTACGTGGCACACACTTCATCAGCACAAAACATAACACTTTTTCACACATGATTTTTTTCTTTTTATAAATCCTAGAAGACATATTATGGCTTTTGGCAGTGTAAAAGAGGACACTTACCAGAAACAACCATACAAAACATCGATGTTTTCCTCTTACTACAATTGCGTTTATCTTAATCAATAGCAGCAATATGGTCCACAAATATATATACATATTTCTTCAACGTTATCCATGAGTCAGTTATAACTGTAATTTTAGATAAAATTGGTGTATTTTATGACCCTGAGTTGAAGCTTACCGGATCTCATCAGGTGAGTTGATGGAGTATTCATACAGCTCTGTGTTGGAAGGATTCGAGATTTCGAATTCCAGTGCGTAGGCCCTGAGCGCATCCCAGTCCAAGGCTTCAACATCCTCCCTGGTGAGGTAGCCTTTAGAGTTGACATCTATAGCCTTGAAACTCTGTCAAGATATTTCAGCCACATAGAAAATATATTAACATATCATTTTTGGTGTATTCATTAGTTCGTCCTATAAAAAGTTTTATAATAAATTTAGAAATACAAAAGACAAACTGAAACTATTTTCTTCTCTGTGCATATCTACTTTGTTAGTTTTCTCTCTACTCACCCTTTCTGCCTTCTTCATTCGAAAGTCGTCATCATATTCAGGTATAACCTGTGTATATAATGTACAAGAATACAGGTTATAATTCATCTTTAACAATGTTCCGGTCCATGTCATAACTTGTGTTACTACACACTCAGGCGTCTAACGATTATTACATGGGTTTGAAAGAGTTTCAAAGAATATAATGATTCAAACATACGTATGTTTCACTTGCGCCGTGTGCTCTGCTTTCGAAAATTTGAATACCTCGGAATTAGTACATGTATGTAAAATACACTTACCACGTTGAGTACTTGTAAGATGCCATCCTTGGTAATTTTTCCATCGCTATGTTCCAGGAGGCCATACAGGTCGTGCCTTATTCCCGGCATCTCCAAATCCATACATCCCATGGTCATGTTTCCAAACCCTGACCAATTCCACATCACCTAGTAAACATTGTTTGGGCAATGAATAGTCAGTGAATAGTCAAAATGCCGAGGGATGTCTTTTATAAAGTTACTTGTCTGATACAACACTTATATTGTACCTGTTACTAAAAAATGACGTAGTCGTACTGCTGATTACACATGCATGTATGTATGTATAATAAACTGTAATGCAAAATTACATGGGACTCTAAACAACAATTCAGGAAATTAACAAACCTCGAAGTCGCTGAGAGGTGTGTACTCCACCTTCTGTGTGTCACAGTCAGAGTCATCAAACTCCTCTAGCCTGGCAAACAGGATAGCCACGGCGACGTTCTTATCCCCGACTGACTCCACCTGGTGGTAGTAACCTGGGAACACACACGTGCACAGAGGCTTGGATTGGGACTATGTTATGTAGCATTTGCAGTCGTGTGACTAAGACACAATTCAGTCTGCCTGCCTAAGTGCTTAGGCCAGAACTGGCCCATTGGTCCTCTTCATTTTTCCCTTCAGGTTGCACGGTCCTTAAGCCTTTTGCTCAACAACCTTGAGGGACCATCCAGTATCATATACTATTTGGTCCCGCCATCGTTTGACGGGTCTTTCTCTAGGCCTGGGGATGTGGAAATCCTGGTGGTAGGCCCCATTTACAAAAGGGTCTGGGGTCTTCTCTGAACGTGATCAAACCACCTCAGCCTTTCAGTATCCATCATTATTGTGTGTGTTATGTATCATTCGCAGTCGTGTGACTAAGACACAATTCAGTATCCACCATTATTGTGTGTGTGTGTGTGTGTGTGTGTGTGTGTGTGTGTGTGTGTGTGTGTGTACGTTCTGCCGACGTACTGGTAGGTAATATTCTTCATGAATGGGGTTATTATTTAATTAAGTTGGAAACACTTACTTTTGGGTACATACAGACAGTCCCCTGCATGAGTGGTGAAGTTAGACCAGCGCACTTTGGCGATGTTGGGGTGTTCCAGAAGATCAACCTTGTGCACATTAACGTCTGAGAACCCACCATGCGCCCGTGACGGCTCCCAGTGCTAAAGAACAATGGTAGTAATCGTTCAACTGAACAAAAGTAAACATCCGTTAGACTCTCAAGACCAGATGACTACGATGAAAAAAATACACTCAAACCTTCACAAGGAGGCAAACCCAGGAACCAAGGTAGGGCAGTCTTCTTGGAACGGTGGCCATCTTTGGCAGATATCGCAATGGGAAAAACTGACCTGGGAATGGTGGCTGTCTTGAAGAGTTGTTTTCTATTTTTTTCTATTTTGTCTGTGTATCTACGCATGTGTTCGTGTCACACGTATGTGACTGTAATATATCTCGAGTTCACTCCACTTTTCGTAAAAAGAAACCCACTTGCCTTGTGTATGAGAGGTTCGTACTTGCGCTCGATCAGTTTCCAGTGTTTGGTGCCGTTGTACAGACAGTTCATGGTGTTTAAGGGATCCTTGTGGATAACGCTGCTGCTACCGTTAGAGCTCATCCATAGATAGATCTAAACCATGAAAAGATAGTCGCCCTGTAAGTCGTCCATGCATTGCGTTCGTCAAGTAGTAGAGTAGTTAATGGTGTTAAGAACTAATCTTCAAGCAGATAATACGGTGGCAATGCAGTATCCATTAGTCATAGTGTCCGCTAATGGATACTCTTCCGGCCAATGGATGCAACCTTGCCACGAGCTGCTTGCCACCATATATCTGTTTGCAGATTAGTCAAGAATATAGTTCTTGTTATGCAGTCATTTTCTCGTTGCTTTTTAGCTTTAATGAGTAGGAAAGACGCGTATGTATCACTGTCAGTCCATCGAGAAAATTCCATTAAAAATATTGCTGATAACTTAGTATCCGTCTTTTAAGTACATGTACGTCTTAATCATTCTAGTTAAAGTTGAAGTCTTTCCTGCACCAGATGATACACAGGGCGGTGCATTTGAGCCACACGTACAGTTGTGCAACCACTGCAACAGGGGGCTAGTCCACTGGTAGTGGTGACGCTGTGTCCAAGTCCCATACTCTTTCCCAAAATACTGTATTGAGTGCTCAATGAAGCATAGAAAGCATAATGTACCATTTTTAAGTCTTTGACATGACTCGACTGGGGCATAACTACGACCCACTGAATGTAACTATACTCACTTGCCAAATTTGCCACAGGTCATATCACCTGTCTCATAGTAGTTGTAAAACCTTACAGAACCCTTACCTCCACAAGACTCTTACGGAAGGAGCCACAGGTGAGACAAGGCTGTACCAGGACTTCATGGTACATGTCGGTGGGTAACTGTGAAATGACGTACACATCTACGTCTTGGTCATGATAGGTGTCCAGGACGTGTTCCATGGTGTCTCGTCCTACTATGCCATTTACTCCAATCGGAATCCCGCTTTTTTTCTCTTTTTTGCCGTCAAGACGAATCTTTTGGAACAAGAAACGTACTAATGAACGAACAGACAGTCAAGTACCAGAGATATCAACCAACTTTGAGGCGTTTAAAAACTTCTTTTCCCCAACAGCTTCTGTTTTCCCCAAGAGCTTCTAATCCTAGATCCTGGAAGGTTATACGATCATAGCTCAACTTTTTTGTGGAAGAAGAGGGATGGGCTCCGCCTTCCAATACCGTGCCCTAGACACAGTGGATTAACAACCAACTTCCCCTACGGACTTAAAAAAGGCTACGGGAATACCTTCACCCTTTTTTGATAGTAGAGTGGAACTAGTTTATGTATTGATTTTTTCAAAAGTGGTAAATCAGGTTTATCATTGTCAAGATTGTCAGGAAAAGCACAGGCATTGGTTCAATACTTAAGTTGCTAAGAAGTTTCCAGGATAAGTTGCGCGGCAATTGATACCTCACCTCACCTCACCGGTCCCATAGCAGTCTGTCCTGCCGTCGGGGCAACTAAACTGTCCACAATTGATACGATTCATATGAAATCCTAACCTCTGATCTTATTACTTTGAAAAGATTGTCAGCATTTCATGATAAAATAGTTTATTCCCCTGTAGAGACACATACATACAAATCTACTAGTACAAAAGCACCTTTGAAAATGTAAAGCGATATACTTAATTTGTTTTCTTCTTCTTTACCTCTAGTTTTCCGTAGTTGTCCCTCAGGTACTCGTCTGTCCATAATGTGAAGGCAGGACTGTTTTTGGCGGCACCCCGCAGAATCACCGGCTTGTCATGTTTCACATACTTGTCCCAGAATTCCTACAGTTGGATAGACATGGTGTTGTCGTAATTATACTCAAATGTATTCATGCATCTTTTACTGTAGTCTATTTGTTGCTGCTGTTTTATATTCGTTAAGTTTGTAAACGACTTGTAACAGTTACAATTCGGTTGATGAGGTCTAGATCTCCAGGATAGGGATATTGTAACCATATTGAATTGAATTGAATTGAATTGAATTGAATATAGACGTCGACGGGTCTGCATCAATCAAGGTTCTCACCTAGAGTTTTCGACCAGTCACTCTGGTCTTTGTAGAGCTGGCCGAAAAATATGGCTCTAGGTGAGTATTTACCTTTTGTGTTGGAACAAAAGTTTTACCCTTTTTTCACAATTTTTGATAGACAAGGACCCAATGATAAAAGAGATAATGTATGTGTATAGGAGATTGAAACAAAAGACCCAGTCACGTACCCGTGGATGTGGGATGTTGTGCAGCTCATCTATGGGGACATCCGGAGGTCGATGACCCCCCAGAGGCTGCAGGTGACCCACAGGGAGGGCGGAGTCACCAGTGATGGAGTGTGGTCCACACACGGCCAGGAGGAGGAGGAACTTCCACACTTGCTCCATGCTTATTCAACACGGAACAAACAATGAAGCACATTAAACACGAAAAAACAGTTACCTAAGCAACTGGCTATGATTTTGCAAACGGTCAGAAGTTTCAGGTTGTATCGACTGCCTTAAGCCAGTGACACTAGTGAGCTCTCAATTTAGCAGGTTTATAAACACGAACTATTCATTGGTACGCAAATATAGTGGAGACAGATTTTTTATCGTTCAATGGGAAACAAAAGCTGAAGTTAACTAACGTCTGACCGTTTCCAAAATCATATAAAGTGCTTAATATTAGTAACTGTTTTTGCGTATCTTATTATCAGGATGTTAACCTTCACCGACGAATGACGTACGTTACATATGTTTTATAAGATGTGACTGTTTAAGTCAATAACCTGGCTCTAAATTGTAACTTGTTAGAGCATTCAGACACGAAAATCAGTAGCCATCTTGCCGTTGTGAAGTGTTTTGTTGTTTTATGCTTGTTCTACAGGTGCACAGGAAACTGTAGAAAATGTCATCCCGAAAGAAAAAAGGTTCTGAGATCCGGCACGGGCCTTTCGTAGTCTCCACCAGACTCCTTTGCAGGCTGAATAAATGGTAGGCATCGGCCTAAAATTGGGATTTAATTACCCGGAGGAATTGGCCGGCCAGAGAAGGCAATTTGCATACAGGCAAAGGAGTCTGGTGGAGACTAGGCCTTTCGCACGGCGGACTGAACTGTCACCGAGCCATGTGTTCCCATAAGCAGTGGGGGTAACCTGGGTACCATCGCCTATTGTCCCTTTCCACTGGGTTCATTTCTGTGTCAGCGCTTTGCCCGGACTGGCCACTTGTACCTCCCATGTGGAGATTTCTAAGAAGCCTTCAAATCAAACCCATTTTAAGGTTAAACCTCCTTCCCGAAACTAGTTTGCTCACGATTACGAGGCACAGAATCAGTATTATTGTTTGCTCTTGCATCACAAGCACGCATTTTGTTTCGAAAGCTAATATAGTTGTTTCTTCAGAAGCAGATGATAACACCTGCAACATGAGCTTTGAGTATGACGATTACAACCACCTGTCGAACAAGTCGATTTGACCGGGTTTACGGAAAAGGCTGGGGACCCGGCCTCGGCTATCTAGCTGGGCTGGCTACGTAAGCTGATGACTAGCACCTTCAGATTACATAACCAGATAGCTCCCATTTTTAGAATGCCCATTTTTGAGAATACCCATCATTTGTGAGGATATGAATGGGGGTATCTGAGTAGCCTGACGTGCTAGCCAGCCCAGGTAGACAGAAGAGACCTAGGACACAGCCCAGTCGTTTCCGTAAACCTGTCAGAGAGTAGTCTGCACTGTGTCAGTTTGACTCGCGTCTTTTACAAAAGTTAACGCAAAGAAGACCAATGCGCTTACATAACCGCAAAACAGTTGTAAGCAAACCTTTTCTACGTAAAACAGGGACATGAACGTAAAGAAAGTTACAGACAAAGATTGAGGAAAGTTCACAAGAAATCATGGACAGAAGGGTCCTCACCTGCAAACCTTCGCCTTCGCGCAAGTTACAATAATGTTTCACACCGGAGTTCGTCTCACACTGCCGCTTCAAGTTGTTCATGTGACACAGGGCGCGAAATTTGAGTTTGAAGAGTCGTTTAGAATCGTTCTTCCTGCCCTACGTGTGTGTTCTATAACGTGCATGTCTGCTTCATGTCTCAGTCTTTTCAGCGCGAGCTCGAGATCATGAGGCCATTTAACCTTATCCTGCTGTCCTCAATAATTGTTGGGAATCATTGAAGGTAAACATTATGCATTTGCTTTGCAAATATTACCTATCTAATATTTAGATAAAATAGATTGCCTGTGCGTTCATGTGTAAGAGGGATGGTATACTTACATTACTCAGGTCATTATTTGCAACTCCATCTTGGCCTGCCACAGGCCTGGCCTGCCACACAGAACAGTACATGTATGTACCAAAGGTCATTTATCGTCCTCCTTACATAAATTATAGCGACTCGATCTTGTACATCTTCATCCAACACCGTACAAACCTCAGTACATTCTTCGTGCTACCTTTGTAATTATCCTTTGGGCATCAGTTTGACTATGGAATGGAGTAGTACTTATCTTCATAAATAAGATGACCCTTGGAGTCAAAGAACAGGCGAGGACAACAAAGGTCGATTATTGCCCCACTTACATAAATTATAGCGACTCCATTTGGGCCATTTCCCCACACGGCACAAACTGAACATGTCGCACAGCAAGACCGCTCTCGTCACCGGTGGGACCCGAGGAATCGGCTACGGTATAGCCGAGGAGCTCGCCTCTGTCGGCTACGATCTTGTTCTAGGCTACCGACAGAACCAAGAACGTGCCCAAGACGCCAAAGCACACCTGGAGGGAACGTACAAGGTGCGCGTGTTTCTGGTTGGAGGCACGACAGAAGAAGAAGCCACAGTGGACGCTTACTTCTCCTGTATCGACCAGAACTTCGGCGGTAAGCTGAACGCGCTCGTCCACAACGCCGGTGGCTACTGGGGAGGCATCGCCGCCGGCAAACCAGACGCTAACGGCAGCTGGTTCCAGGGTTGGGAGGCGTACGAATACTACCAGGGCATGTACCCCAAATGTTTCATCAGGCTCGTGGAAAAGGCGGTCACCCGGATGGAGGACGAGCGAGGGTACATCGTCGCCGTGTCTTCTCCTGGGTGCAACAATAACCAAAGCCCCCACCTCAACTACATCATGCCTGGCATCTCCAAGTCCAGTATGGAGTACCTGGTCCGCCACTACGCCAAGCAGCTGGCTCCCAGAAGGATCACCTGTAACGTCATCATTCCGGGGTTCGCCAAAACCGAGGCCTGGGACCCGATGCTGGAGAACTTCGGCGCGGATCGGGTAGATGGGATGGTGAAGTCGTACGGCATGAAGCGGTGGAGCGATCCGCGGGAGTACGGCGGGGTCGTGGCGTTCCTGTGCTCGGAAAAGGCGGCGTTCGTCACCGGGGTTACCCTACCCGTGGACGGAGGGTTCCACCTGGGAAAGTAACTGATCCTGGAAGAAGTAGTTGCATAAATTATGCCACCCGAACTGCACAGGAAAGTTCTGACGACTTACAGCGGTCAGACTGCCTATTGGCAATTAAAAATGACTGTAGTAACCAGTTCCACCCGGGAAGGTAACTGATCAAATCTAGTTATAATGAAGAAGAGTATCTTAAAATAAACGAACGTCTAAGAACTATCATCACCAAACTAGAAATCAGCTGTCATGCACTCCGTATCGAATCAGGACGGCACAACCGCACACCTCTGGAGCAAAGAATTTGTCAATTTTGTAGCTTGAACAAGGTAGAAGATGAAGTCCACTTTGTCGTACATATGTAATATACGTGACACAATTTCTGCCACCTCGACTGCACAGAAAAGGTCTGTCGACTTCAAAGAGTCCGTCAGACTGGCTATTGGCAAGTAGAATGTCTGTAATTGTAGCAACGTGCAATGTCAATACAACCATGAACAGGCTATTTTGTTGTTAGTATATAATTGATGAAACGTGTTTTTTTGGATTCCCACTGTATATCTAAACTTGCAAAGAGATAGTAACATCTCCAAGGAAAAGCGTATAGAACACTTGTAACACAAAACTCGATATCTTGTGATACCAGTATGTTGAACTACAACAAAATAAAGCATCCATATACTATATCTAAGTTGCTTTTAAATGTTTGTTTTATTTCTATCTCTGCATGGTAACTTCAACATTACACACAATAAAACATCCCTGCATTGCCGTACAGGTATCTGGAGGTTCATATAAACACCATAAAAGTGGAGATTTGGTGACATATCTCGATAAAAGAGCCCATCCTCTTTAGGGTCAAATCGTTATACATGCAATTCAAAATCTCACAAAACGTTCACAGCGGGTACTTCTAGTGCTTATACAGTATTGCAAATCTGCACGTGTGTTGAGTACCCACCCCCTTTGAAGTGTTAATGAACAATGATGAAGCAATACAAATGTTTGACCAGGGGGGGGGGGGGGGTTAGGTGAGACCTCTTGCTCTGGCTAGATAAATAAGTTATATATTACTTTTGCCCGGTGTCCCTAAGAGAGCTTAACTACAATTCTCATCTTGTATCAAGGCTGCTGAAGATGATGACATTTTTTATGATCAGAGTCTTTTTAAACTCATTTAGAAATTCTTAATGGCCGCACCGAACGTTATATTTCCACCATCAAAAAGAAGCAAGAAGAAGCCGAATTCACTTACGTACTAACCCAATAGTAATCGTGCTAAGTTGACGATATCATACCCATACTGTACTTGTAAACCATTCTTATGTTGTGACCTATTATTGTACTTAACCCAGTGGATACATATGTACAACAAAGGTCTTCATTCGTGTACTGAACCGGCTACGATATAATATAGAGTCCAACTTCTTCTAGGATCAGTTGAGGTGTAACCCGCCGTCCACGGGTAGAGCTACTCCCGTGACGAACGCTGCCTTTTCCGAGCAGAGGAACGCCACAACGCCACCGACTTCACGTGGTGATCCCCACCGCTTCATGCAGAGAGAAGTCACCATCCCCTCGACTTGATCCGCTCCCCTCTCTTCCAAAACTGGCCCCCAGGCCTCGGTTTTTGTGAACCCAGGGATGATGACGTTACAGGTGATCCGCCTCGGGGCCAGCTGCTTGGCGTAGTGCCTGACCAGGTACTCCACGCTTGCTTTCGATATACCCGGGCTTACGTAGCTGAGGTGGGGGCTTTGGTTATTGTTGCACCCAGGAGAAGACACGGCGACGATGTACCCTCGCTCGTCCTCCATCCGGGTGACCGCCTTTTCCACGAGCCTGATGAAACATTTGGGGTACATGCCCTGGTAGTATTCGTACGCCTCCCAGCCTTGGAACCAGCTGCCGTTGGCGTCAGGTTTGCTCGGGGGATGGCCTCCCCAGTAGCCACCGGCGTTGTGGACGAGCGCGTTCAGCTTACCGCCGAAGTTCTGGTCGATACAGGAGAAGTAAGCGTCCACTGTGGCTTCTTCTTCTGTCGTGCCTCCAACCAGAAACACGCGCACCTTGTACGTTCCCTCCAGGTGTGCTTTGGCGTCTTGGGCACGTTCTTGGTTCTGTCGGTAGCCTAGAACAAGATCGTAGCCGACAGAGGCGAGCTCCTCGGCTATACCGTAGCCGATTCCTCGGGTCCCACCGGTGACGAGAGCGGTCTTGCTGTGCGACATGTTCAGTTTGTGCCGTGTGGGGAAAATGGCCCAAATGGAGTCGCTATAATTTATGTAAGTGGGGCAATAATCGACCTTTGTTGTCCTCGCCTGTTCTCCAAGGGTCATCTTTTATGAAGATAAGAACAACTTCATTCCATAGTCAAACTGATGCCAAAAGGATAATTACAAACGTAGCACGAAGAATGTACTGAGGTTTGTACGGTGTTGGATAAAGATGTACAAGATAGAGTCGCTATAATTTATGTAATTCGGTAAATGACATTTGGTACATACATGCTAAGATGGAGTTTCAAATAATGACCTGAGTAATGTAAGCATTATAGCCTCCCCACACATACAGGATCGCACAGACAATATTTTTTTATCTTAACACTACATAGGGTAACATAGCTTAAGCTTGTTCAGGAGCTTTGTGCCGTGTGGGGAAAATGGAGTCGCTATAATTCATGTAAGTGGGGCAATAATCGACCTTTGTCGTCCCTGCCCTAGATAGATCCAAAGGTCATCTCTTACAAGTGACCACATGTTTGAAGATAAGAACAATCTCATTTTATTTCATGCAAACTCATGCCCAGAGGATAATTGCAAGCAGAGGCGGCGGCACGAAATTTTGACTGGGGGGGCGAGATTTTCTCCCATGTACACTATCTTTGCGAGCGCCGAAGGCGCGAGGCGTCGCGCCGAGGCGCGACGTTA